GGATCCACTCCACTAATCATCATAACGGTTTAGCCATGCTCGTTCCCAACGTTGAGTTTTCAAACCAGGAAACCGTATATGGAATATGAAAAATCATTTAATGTTAAAATGAGTATTATGAAAGGAAGTGGTCCATGTGAGACTCGGGCCAACCCCATTTTGCAAACTCACCATTCACGCTGGACCCAAAATGGCTTAAAGAGATGATACTCACATTTCAACCCACATACAGATAACCCAGCTACAGCTCGGAAACCATTTTGCTGTTCAGCGTTGTGTCCAACTCTTCATGACCCCATGGACCACAGCACGCCAACACACACACACACACACACACACACACACACTGTTCTCCACTGTCTCTTTGTGTTTGCCCAAATTCATTTTCATTGTGTTGATTACACTATCTAACCATCTCATCCTCTGCCATGCCCTTCTCCTTTTGCCTTCAATCTTTCTTAACATCAGAGTCTTCTCCAATGAGTCCTCTCTTCTCCTTTGGTAGCCAAAGTATTTGAGCTTCAGATTCAGTATCTTTCATTCCAAAGAACAGTCAGGATTGATTTCCTTCAGAATTGAGTGATCTTATCTCCTTGCAGTCTCAAGAGTCTTCTCCAACACCACAATTCAAAAGCCTAAATTCTTTGGCGCTCAGCCTTCCATATGGTCCACCTCTCCCGGCCAAACATTACTACTGGAAAAATCCATAGCTTTGGCTATATTGGAAACCATAAACATTGTCATGCTCAATAAAGAAGAATTAATGGACTTCAAAATCCTTTCACAGGAAAGAAGGGAAGAAGCCCCCAAGTCATATAGAACTATTATTCTTGAGTCCAAAGCATTTTGCACATAGATCTTCCTACAAACTCGTCTTGAATCTACAGGTATCTCAGACAAGGTGCACATGTTTGCCCAAGTTATAATATGGTTTCCTCCAATGGTAAACCCAATTACTTTGGTTTGTAATGTTGACCAAGGACTCCATATGAGATTAAATGAGATGCTCAAATTCAAAAGGAAGAGGGCTAAGTTACCTGTTCCTACCTGGATATTTGGTAGGGTAAGTTGAACTATTGGTTATTTTTTAAAAAATCTGTGCCTTAGGACTTATGCTTCACCATTAATGGGCCTTCTGACTCAAAACTAATAGAAAATAATATTCCTAATGTTCTACATTGTAGTAATTTGAGAAGACTCCAGAGACAGGTATATCTTGGGATGCCTGCCTTATGGAATAGCCTCCCTTCTAAGAACTGAATGTCCACAACCTTTTTCTTCTTCATACTTTAATATAGTTTTATGAGGGTCTTTTTACTTGTCCATGAGTCTCCAAGAATGGAATTACATTCTAAGTATCACTGAAACTATATATAAAAAAACCCCTATCAAACAAGGGACCACCATAATTCGGTTTCATACACTCAGCCAGCCATGAAACTCACTAGCTGGTCTTAGTTCATGAGAGTGAGAAATGATCTAAGACAAGTCAAATATCTGTTTCCTGATCAAAACTTTTCAGCTGCATAGAGGATCCTCCACCCTGGCTTTGGGGTGGAGTTCCATCAGTACGCTGATGATACTCAGCTGTACATCTCCACCCCAGGTCACCCCAACGATGCCCTTGACGTGATGGCCCGGTGCCTGGAGGCCGTACGGGTCTGGATGGGGAGGAATAGACTCAGACTCAACCCTTCCAAGACCGAGTGGCTGTGGTTGCCGGCGCCTCGGCATAGTCAGCTGNTTTATGTAAATAAATAAATAAATAAAGGCGGCCATTTCCTTAAGAGTTTGTGGACCCTTGTGACAACATTACGGGTCCCCCAGGACCACAGGTTGAGAACCACTGTTCTATCATATCTACCGATAATGTTATATGTCATACATAAAGTATAGGTTTTATAAACTGAATGGAAGAAAATACACTTATTTGGGGAACTACTTACTTCATTTTTCTTTTGTACTGCTTTAATACTGACAGAGATGGTAGGATTTCTTGAAACTGGATCTTCACTATAGACTTCAAAACAAGCACAACATTAAAAAGAACAAATAAAGAGAACAATGTATTTTTTCCATATCTTTCTCTTTCTTTTCACTAACAAGCCTTTTCATTGATTTTCTTGTATTTATATGAGAGCTGATAAACATTTTAACAGTATTTGTTTCTGAGTGGCTCTTAAACTCTGATTCATTGAACTTCTTAACAAATGTTGAATTTATTTTCCTCACTGAAAGTAACATTCCTATATCTTTGTAACAGTGTTCAGGTTTCCAGAATGAGAAATTTTCGGAATAGAAACACAACTTTCTCTTTAATTTCTCTTCAGCATACACCCACCCACTCCTTTATTCAGCATGTTTATTTACTATAGTATAGAGTATATATATACTATAGTATATATCTGGTAATAATAATTCGCTATTAGGATCCAAAATGGCCAACATATCTGTAGCTGGCAGCAGGTGCTTAAAGAACCTATGCCTTTTCCTAGATTTATACAGATGCCATGAAGACTAAAAAAAAATTGGTGTTTCAGGTAATTCAAGTGCCTACATTACAACTATGGATGCCCAGGAGAATCTGTGACTTCTTTAAGAAGTTCCTTAATTGCAAAATACATCTATGTCATAAAGTGCCAGAAGACACTGTCTCAAGCTTGTGTATTTGTGGCTATCCAGCAGAAAACCCAAAAGAAAAATCATCCTACATAATTCCACACCCTCATAATATTCTAAGTTACAGGGACCTCAAACAGTTCAATTTTTTTGTTCCTTTGTTTCAGCTGACAAACAGCTGACTTCTCAAGCTGCCCTTTGTTTTGAGTTGATTGGTAGATTCACACAAGCACCACTTAATTCAGTTTTTGTTTTTGCTTGGTTTTTTTTAAAATCCCTAATGAACTGTACATTTACGACACTATATTTTCTTCTGTTAACAAGTATCCTGCTCTGGGAAGCTTTCTAACCCCAAAGCTGTCCTCCGACGGCAAAACAGAGGCGGGGGGTGCCATGTGTGTCAATCCGGAGTTCATTTCTTGGCTGCAGAGGCCTTTCCAGAAGGCCTCCGACGGCGAAACGGAGGCCGGGGGTGACGTGTGCGAGCTGCGGAAAGCAGCCACAGCAGAAGTGGGCTGGCGAGGCAGGTATTGGGATGTGGGAGGCCTGGCTGCAACTGTCCTAAGGTAAGTGGATGCGGGGCACATGGGGCAGCTCCATCCCCCCTGCCCTGTGCACCTCGCCCCACCTCGTGCAACCAGGTGCAATGGAGTGGGCAGGGTCTTAAGTAGAGCTTATTTTTGGAGTAGGGATAATATTGGGCGCATGTGTAAAAATCAAGCTAGGGCTTATTTTGGGGGTAGATTTTATTTTCGGGGAAAAACGGTATTACATATCCTATGCAAAAATCTCTTTTATTTCACATAAATGACTTCATATAAGTGAAGAAAACTTTTTTCTTTTAACTAACCTTCAGTTTCAGATGTTATGTCTCTTTCATTTCGTAGAAATTCTGCCACTCTTTCTGCCAGACTGATATCCACAGCTGTACTTCCAATGTTTATATCAGGTACTATAGAATGATCCCTACGACTTACTTTCTTACTATTTTGCTTTTCAGGTAATGTTCCACACCTTTAAAAGTGACATTTTTTTTAAAAAAGAAGATTTTAGGTAATAACGTCTCCTTTTATACAACAGTTTTTACTCCCTTTGGTAATATATGTCCTTATAATCAAACTGAATGCTGAATTCTTACCTTGGAATATTTTTAAATGGTTCACCATATGCATGTCCATTTTGGATATCAGCTGGAGCTCCTTCTGATGAAGAACTATTTGTATCCTCAGAACCATCTTTCTCCAGTTTGGGTGTGATAGTGGAAAATTTTTCACACAGTTTCTGTGGTTTCTAAAACAACACCACATATAATTTTTAAGTTTAAAAAATGAGTTATATTCATAGCTTTGCATTACACTCCTGTTGTGCACATTTCAATATCTACTATTGCACCATAGGAAACCCGTCTGCCTAAGAAAATCCTCATCAGTAGAGGCTAGATATTTTCAGATTTGGATTAGAATGTAAATCTTATTGAGATATATGCCTTCCTATAAAAAGTATTTAATACAAATTACAATTTGATAATATAATTGTTTTGAAAAATTATAGATCAAATTTTAAATTTTCCCTTCACAAAAATTGTCCCATATTAGTTACCCAAAGGCTTCATCTGGCTTTAAATATGTTTTTGCTAAATAAATTATAGGCCAGGATTTCATTAGATAAGTACCATTCCTTAGTATTTTTCATGTAAGTTTCTGCTACCTTCTAAATGTACATTACAAGAAATGTCCATGGCTATGGAATGTTTGACGCTGCTTAGCGACTGCTCTACAAGGAGATTCATTACTTAAGATTCTGAAATCTTGGCTTCCCTGACAGTGTACTGATTAATCAGGAAGAAAACATAGAGTGATTGCTGGAAATATTTTGAATTAGTCTGTATCTCTGGGAAAGCAAAACTTTCACATAATATTTTATACTATTTTAATTTTTTTAATATAATCCCATGACAGTAAAAAAAGAATGCCATAGAAATTTCATACTTTTCAAGCCCTATTAATGCACATTTACTTTTTAAAATATAAAGTAAAGGAAACAAAGACTTTTTGTTCTAGCAGCATAGCAGGTCTTTGGATTCATTTTCTTTACACCTCATTATCATGCATAAAAAACAAAGAACACCCCACAAAATGTTTAGTATGAACCTTTTACCCATTATACAATCTCAATGCACCAATAATTTAATCTGATGCAGGTCAAGTTAGGCTGTTAACATAAAGTGCATAACTTTATCATTAATTATTGGCTTCTCTAGATGCTAAAAGCTTACAGTTCATATTCTGATATTCCTATGTAAAGTTAAAATGTTTTTCTTGGTCTTTCTCAAAAGTAACTATTGCAAAAATCACTGTTTGCATCGTTACTTAGTGGGGAAAGCTGAGGGTGAAATAATTTTGCTCTATCTATGCTAATTTTCAGAGATGATGCTGAGAGAAAATAATTTATTTCCTTTGCTGAGTTCAGCAAACAGCAAAATATGTTCAAATGCATGCAGTTAGCAAGTTACAGCAGTTGCATCTCTGTATGCTGAAGAGAAGGCTACAAATTCTCTAGAGCAGTGGTCCCCAACCTTTCTGGGTTGACAGCCTGACACGGGGGGGGGGGGGTTTAGAGGGGATGGTTTTGCAAGAGATAGGTGTGCGCGCGTGCAGCTTTATTTGTATGAGTGACGGGTGAGTACTCCCGTCACTCATGTTGCCCGATTGTGAATAGGCCATGGCCTAGTAATGGGCTATAGCCTGCAGGTTGGGGATCCCTAGCCTTACGTATAATAGCAATAGCACTTAGACTTATATACCACTCCATAGTGCTTTATAGCACTTTCTGAATGGTTTACAAATGTCAGCATATATTGCCCCCTACAATCTGGGTCCTCATTTTACTGACCTCGGAAGGATGGAAGGCTGAGTCCACCTTGAGTCTGTCAGGATTGAACTCTAGGTTGTGGGCAGAGCCTGCAATATTGCATTCTAACCACTGCACCATCACACCCCACCCCACAATAACAGACAAGATACTATGAGTAGCAAAATATGTACAAAATCCCAATAAATAGTAACAACCTTATTCTACAAATGATTTCTCAAAAATAAATGCAAATGAATTCAAGTGTTTGTTTATAAGCAAACATGCATATTCATATATATACATATTGTATTATATGTAAGAATAAAGTCTCCATTATTCTACATATGTTAACCAAGTATTTGCTTTCCTAGAACTCCCAGAAGAATGGAAGAGGGATTGATTCACTTTATGTATATTTATTATAAATATTATTGCTCATTGTGCATTTTTATTGTGGTGTCAAGGCATCTAAGCTGGGAGATATCCACTTTTGAGCTATTTTCTTTCTATAGGCAGATTTTTGTTTCTATGCACTTTGAGACACTTTGCCCAAATTCAAATATTAGCTTTAGATATGCTCAAAATAATTTCCGTTGCTTACCAAATCGCAATTTTGGTCTTGAAATTTGTTGCCGTAACGTCGCTCTAAAATCCACAATGATGAAAGAATGGCAGATGAAGATATTTTCACATGCATCATTGGCTGGCATTCCTGAAATGCCCCTGTTGTGATGGGATCTTGAACCATTCTTTTACTGGACCATCTGATCATCCATTCAAGTAAGCGAGATATATTGTTAAATTTAAGATGTATTTCTGGAACTGGTTCGTCTTGTTGTGTGATGTCATTCACTTGTCCAGTTTTGCAGATGTATTTTTGAAACAGAGCTGTTTTAGGGGTAGACCGACATTGAACCAACGCTGGTGTGAATGTCTTACTGGAATTATGTGAGTCACTGACTGATTGCTGGCTTTGACCAAATAAGCCTCTTCTTTCAGCAAGTCTCATAACTGAATCACAATCTGAAAGCTCTAACAGTTGCTCATCGGCTAAAGTTTCTTTTTCACAATCTTTTTTCTTTTTATCACATACAGAAGCTAGTTTAGAATCACTAAATCCAAAACCAAGGGTGTAGCAAGAACCAGCTCGGAATGCATTTTGGACTTCAGTTCTCACCTGTCGACGTATCAGTGTTGTATGAACATCAAAAAGAAGAGAATGGAGCTCATGCTCTCTAAGCAGTGCTGAAAAGCATGTCAGAAAAGGAACAGCAGATTCACTGTGATTGAGTGGATCTCTTTCAAGTATGTAAGTTAGGAAGAGGTCTAAAAACTTAATGTATTCATCATCATCACGTTCAAATTCCCATTCACCGACTAGAGGCATATGAAGTTGATTGGGAACGTCTTCATGGGTCTCTTTTTTAAAATCTCTTTCCCCACTGCAGTCTTTTAACTTTTCAGTCCACTCTTTACGGTTGGAAACATCTATACAAGAGGGTAAATCACTACAAAACAGAATAAAATAACATATAAAAAGCAAATTCTTTTCCTTCCACAGCAACTTCTGTATATCCATAAAGGCAAGGCAGGTGCTTTCAATCCAGGAAAGAAACAAATACCGTGTTTCCCCAAAAATAAGACTGGGTCTTTTTTTTTTGCCTCCAAAAGAGGCACCAGGTCTTATTTTCGGGGGATGTCTTTTATACTCACCTCCGGCACAGACAGATCCGCCCAACAAGTCCACTTCTTCTGCCCAAAGGAGCAGCTTCATTCTGCAGCTGCATTCCGGCCTGCTTTTAGGAAGGCCACTGCAGCCGAGTACTGAGCTATGGATTCAATCCATAATGGATTCAATCCATAATGGATTCAATCCATAACTTGGTTCTCAGCTGCAGTGCCCTTCCATTAAGGCCTATGACTGAGAAATGCAGGCCTGGCTGCAGAAGACTTGGCAGAAGAAGTGGGCCAGTGAGGAGAGGCCTGGCGACAAGGTAAGTGAGTACGGGGCATGTGGGGAGCTCCACCCCCCCCCACCCCTGTCCTAGTTTGATTTTTAGGTGTGCCTTGCCCCAAAACTAGGGTTTATTTTTGAGATAGGGCTTATATTAGGCCGACCCCCAAAAATCAAGCTAGGGCTTATTTTCAGAGTAAGCCTTGCTTTCAGGGAAATGTGGTACTACAAAGTAGCTAAGAGTAAAATAAGCCTGCATGGCACAATGTCAATCATATGCTAAGTCTTATGAAAAATATTAATTTACTGAAAAATGCATTAAATATGATTTTTATGACAATCTCATTCTTATTGTGTTCTTCTGCTTTAAGGATTTTCTTGGATGGATCGTGTCAGTCCACTACTGCTTTGGTCTTACTTTGCTATGTGATGCCCAGAATCAATGAAGCATAAGAGGAGCAGAACAAGGATATGAGGCTTTTAGGTTGCGATCCTATGCACACTTACATACAAGCCAGATGGAACTTGATGCAAAGAAAATGTGGACAATTTCATACAGTTTAAATAAGATGTTACTCAAAATAATATTTTCTTTGATTCAAGACAAAATGTTAAAAACACTTACTTGGGATCTTCTTGCTTCGGTTTTCTTGCTTCTTCTGTCATCCCAAACTCAGAAAGTGAATCTGCTG